ATAGCAATCATGACTCATAATCAGTACAATACTCTAAAAGTGTAATAAACCTGAACAATTAATGAATGGTGATTCATGAGTTTTCATTGATAGCATGCTGAAATTTTGTGTGACTTTATTTTCCTACAGTTTTGTTCCAAAGCAGTACACAGATAATCTCCTGAGCAAACAAATGATCTATGGAATGGCGTTAACGTTATCACCCACAATAATCTGTCCGATTTTTCGACATTTATGTTTCCATTAGCGGATTATTAACGGATCGTTTCCTCTAAGCAGCCTTATCAGTGAAAATTTGTTCGTTTTGCTGGCGTCTTTGATAAGTGAGGAAATTTTTTCCGCTCAAATACATTTGTGCAGATTAAGGGAAAGCGATGGCGTGATTTCAGATGTGGTGTGTTGCGTTATCAGCATAAGCAAACATAGGTCTGGAACCATTCTTCGTTACATAGAACCAGATGGGTTAATTCGACACAACACAATTAGTGGATCAAAGATGAATGGAATTACAGAACGCGATTGATTGTGTTCTCAGAAGTGTGAACTCACTGGATATGAAACAGTAGTAGTAAGCCTCGAGAATGGTCCATCGTTCAGCACGATGAAAAACATAGGTGCCGACAAGAACAACCAATGTTCCAATTGAAAGCGATACCATAAGGAGATGCTTCGGGGTGACCTCACCTATGATGTTGATGTCTTTGGCCATCAGTGACGCTCTCAACTGCAATCAATCAACGCATCTTCGAATGAGAACAGTCACATTTACAAGTGAATTCTTCAAACTATCGCTATTCTCAGGTTTGCTCAGTGACATCGGAATTTTTTCATACCATCAGATTCCTCAGATTCTCTACTTGCAGACCAGTATGTTTTTGACCGATTTTACTTATTTTCAGTGAAACAGATGATTTACTGAACATATATTAGCTACCTCTGCGACGCCCATTTCAATTCGCTGTATCTCTTTTGATCAATCTGCACACTCAATCTGTGCTTGTGAACGCTGACGAGCGATTGAGATACCTTCAGAAAATCAGCTATTTCTCTGAAAGTAAGCATAATCGCCTGACAACATATATAATATTCGGAAACTAGAGAATCTGGGAAATCTAATGGTGTGAAGAAATCACCATGTTACTGTGCAAACTTGAGAACTTCGATAGTTTGAAGATGGTGACCGTGATGCTGCTAAGCTAATGTACATATTGATCAACAGAGATACATTGTATTGAAATGAGCGCTGCCGAGGAGTTGAAATACCTTCAGAAAATCAGCTATATTTCTGAACGTAAGCAAAATCGCCCGACAACATATTCACTCTTTTGAAACTAGAGAGTCTGTGGAATCCGATAATGTAAAGAAACCCGAGAACAACGATAGTTTGAAGTTGACGACCTTGATATTGCTAAAGCAATACAGAGATTGATCAATCAACATAGATATAGCGTATTTGAGTGAAAGCTGACAAGCAATTGATACTTGCAATCCCATTTTTTCGGCAAGTTTTGCACACTCGTGTGATTTTGTGAACTTTTGAATTTTTTTAGACTCATAGCAGGAAAAAATGAAAAAAGTATCACTGATAGTTTAGCATATGTTTGATGAGTAATATGATTCCTGAAGTGTTTGAGACTATGCTGTCATTTGCTTAGCTTACAGTTAGATATCTTCTAATTCATGCTCTCATCCAATTATGAACTATGATCTACTCTTGCCACATGATCGATCCTGATACCTTCCTGAGGCAGAACGCGATAAAGGTGTTCACACGTTCACCGATACTCTGGAACATCACCAAGCCGAGTGGAATCCCAGCCAACGCAAACATCATACAGAACAGTTTACCAGCCGCTGTGTCAGGCGCTGAATGACCATAGCCTAGAATCGCATCCATAGTTCGAGTTTGTTTCGTGATGAAACATTACAACATGATGATGATTTCGAGCAAGAGCAACGAATGAAGAAATTTTGAAAGAAGCATATTACATACCCACTGTGGTGATAACAACGGTTGCAAAATAGAATGCGCCAGCAAATTTCCACTGGTATCCAGCCTTGTGCGGTACTGATTTTATGACTACAGTCCGCAACAACTCATAGTCTCTACATGAAATTAAACGACCATACTTAGATGCTTCAATACATATGAAATGTTTGGGATACGGATGAGATAAAGAGCCTAAACAAAGTGGGCATTCTTTTCGCTTCTGAATGATACACGAGTTGTCAGTTGAATAAACCGGAGTCTTAAAATATTCACAGTGTTCCACCTTGCTCAATACGCTACCACGATACGAATGGATGGATAAGGAGCAACACTCAACATAAATGACAAAACAGAAATTTTAATTTCACTTGAATTGGACATAAAGCATTTGAATGTAAAGTGCTTTGTAGTGATTGTTGAAAATTTTGATGGCTGCAGAGAATTTGGAAGCAAATGCGAAAAAATATCAAACTTTTTAGTGAAATTATATTTTTGTTGCATCTTATTGGCGATAATGCCAATTTGTTCACGTCTCTCCATGTCGTCATTCGATTCGAGCTTCTCGAAAACGGCAGCACCGAGTAGAAGGTATGTGAACGTGCTGATGATCAACAAAACTGCTCGAACACTCCTCTTGTCCATTTCAACAAACAGTTACGTCGCAAACTTGAGTTCTTCCATCTCCCTATTCGAACTCTCCAGAAAATAATCGTTGTAGATGCTGGAAAACGGCAAAGTGACCAAGTATTCGAGAAATTTAGAATAATCCTCAAATAATCCCATTCACAAGCTTATGATTTACACGTCGAGATGTTCAACACAATGTAGCGCTTGATAATATGATTGAATGAGCTTGTGATATAGCAGTCTAACGACAACTTATGATGTATTGCTCATTGCATTTGTAAAGTTCTAACAGTTATCATAGGAACTGAGAAAATTTCTAGCGCAAATCCACCAAAATGAATACAATGAGTCGTAAAAATGTTCAGATCATGAAAATTATCGTTCAGAACAAACACCAAAGAAACGAAACATGGAAGCGCGATAAATGCGTAGATGTTAACGACAAAATAAGGCACGTTTGAGGATCGTTCACTTATTAGCATCTAGTATTGATGGCACATCATGTAGGCGACATTCGTAGGGCAGTCAGCTATATGTCTGCGCTAAATGAACATGCACATATCCACGAAATCGATAGTTTCTCATAGTAATACTCTGGATGAAGGATTACGTTATCGTTTTGTTGTTGTTATATTGAATACTAACATCATTGAACGCTAACGAGAAACTGAACGCTAAATTAATTGGAAGCGTTCCTTTGAAATTCAGATTGCACGCACTCAAAAACAAGCAACTAACTGACCAGTTGATGTCATTTTGTCTTATTTCCACGAATCTACATCCGACTAAGATAAACGCTTCGTAAGCA